CTAGCGTTGCATGGCTCCATAGCCCTCAACACACGCTGTCACCAAAAGCGCATACCTGGTTGCAAAGTGGACAGTAAGTGCAGGATGTGCAATCAAGCAGAGGAGCACATAAGCCACATCGTGGCTGGATGTACCACACCCGCACCTACTGAATACACAAAAAGGCACAACAACGTAGCAAGGTATATACACTGGCTAATGAGCAAAAGGGCTGGTATAGAGGTCAGCGATAAATATTATGAGCACACGCCAGAAAATAATAAAGTTGTAAACAATGAGGATGTTCGAATCATGTGGGATGTTCCCATCATCACTGATAGAACCATTCCTGCGAACCGCCCGGAGATAGTGTATCTTGATAAAAGAACAAAAACCTGCTTGCTAGTGAATGTAGCGGTTACTAACGATTCGAACGTAATGCTGAAGGAAGCAGAAAATATAAGCAAGTATAAAGACCTGGAAATAGAGGTAAGCAGAATGTGGAACGTTAAGGCCCGGACAGTTCCAGTCATTGTAGGAGCCCTATTGACCCTTAGAAAGGGGTTACAGTCCAACCTCTCACAACTACCAGGAAAACCATCTGTTGCTGAAGTGTAGAAAATAACACTACTGGGCACTGCTCACATTATCCGCAAGGTATTAGGGTGAATCGCTTTGATCTCGGGTAGAGATCTGGATTCGCTTAAGCCTGCCACAATAGGATAATAATAATAATAATAATAATAATAATAATAATAATAATAATAATAATAATAATAATAATAATAATAATAATAATAATAATAATAATAATAATAATAATAATAATAATAAATAAGCAGAGGTAAATCCTGGCAGACGTTCAAAATGTTGTCCGCTATTTTGTAGGCACCTGACCCTTCTCTGTACATTGTTCACTGCTCGATTTATATCTCTTCCTCTCAGTCTTCCAAAATCTGTCTCCACGTACAATGCAAGGCTTGGTTTGGTTTACGAAACAAATGAAATTTGATAACTTCAAAGCCTACCAAGCAACTTTTGCCTTGCTGAACTAACTTACGTTTGGTAATGTCAATCTGTGACATATTAGACACTTTTGAAATCAGAACTAAAAACTCTATCTGCTAAAATCCAATACGGCATCCACAAAAAAAAAGTTGATGCTGGAGGATAAGAGACGAAAAGTCATAATGCGATTCTGGTTATGCTATCCCGTAGAGGAGAAAAAGTAGCAATGTCGACATGGAATTTATTTTGGACCCTGTCTATAGACAATTGGGTCACCGAGCGGTCCGCTCCCTGCTTTTATGTTCCACCGGTATGCTACCAAATACACTTACAATGCAATGACGCGCGGGAGGTGCGCGATCCGTCAGCAGAAAATACTTTTTTGAGTTTTAATGGCAAACGTGCGTGGGCATACATTACGTGTGAAATAGAATGACTAGCGGAGTTGGAAGTGTAATGATCTACTTATATAAAAAAATTGCGATACATTCTCCTCCACCCCACTACAAAGGCCTACTCCCAATTGTTAAAACCCAAGAAAAATCAAAAATAATCCGGATCGTTTGAAACGTAGTTTAATCGATTTTTATTATTTCGTTTTTGGCATTTTTCTCCACCACTAGAACGTTATCAAGAACTACAAAACTTTTTCGTCCTTCGCGTTGTACTAGCTTTGTGGATAAATTTTGTCCAAATTCCAAAAGATGGCCAAAGGCTTGCGGATAGACCGAAAGACAGACCGACGCGACGGAAACGAGTGACAGAGTTTTTCATGATGATGTCATAAAACATCCAAAAATCAATACATCATATTCGAAAATTTTCGCATTCACAATACTTCCTCGCCAGGAGTAAAATGATTAAAAAATCAAACTCGGTCCACTGATTACGCATATACAGGGTTTGTCCGGAAAGTAATAGGACTCATTTTCTTCCGCCATGACTGTACTTCGGAGCGTGCGCGCACCGACTGGATTCGGTAGAGGGCGTTGCTAGCTAACGAATGAGCGGCTGGTCAGCCGTCTCCGACCACTTGGAGAGTCAGGACAGGCATTTTCGCGCGACGTGTTTCTGTGAGTGGTGCAAGCCGAAAATGCAGCGTCCGTTAGAGCAGAGGTACGCGATTAAATTCTGTGTGAAACTCGGTAAATCTGCGACAGAGACGTTTGATATGATCAAGCAGGCTTAACCAGGTGTTGCTTTAGCAAGAAGTGGTGTGTTTCGGTGGCACCAGGCCTTTTTGGAGGGCCGGGAAGAGGTCGCTGATGAAGACCGTGCTGGAAGACCTTCGACAAACACCGATAATGTGTCTCGTGTACGCAAAGTTTTGAACTCAGACCGTCGACTAAGTATTCGTTTAATTGCCCAGATGTTAAATTTACCAAAATATGTGGTTCATGACATTGTGACACAGCATTTGAAGAGGCGAAGATGGTCCCAAAAGTGCTCACTGACGACCAGAAATTGCGGCGAGTGGAAGTGTGCCAATAAAATTTGAACATGTGTGAAAGTGACCCCCAATTTTTGAATAATAGAATCACAGGTGACGAGTCGTGGGTCTTTGAGTATGATCCCGAGACAAAGAGGCAATCTTCCTAGTGGCATACGACGACGTCTCCTCGCCCAAAAAAGGGAAGAATGAACAAATCCAAAGTGAAAACGATGCTCGTGGTCTTTTTTGACATCAAAGACATCGTCCACCATGAATTTGTTCCTCCTGGACAAACCGTCAACGCCAAGTTTTACGTGGAAGTGCTCAGGAGACTCAAACGAAGGGTCAGTCGGGTCCGACAAGACATCGCAGCCGACTGGAAGTTGCACCACGACAACGCCCCGGCTCACACCGCCTTTCTCGTGAACAGCTACCTGCCCAAGGCCGGCATCCCAATGCTTCCACAGCCGCCCTACAGCCCAGATGGGCCCCCTCGGACTTTTTTTTGTTTCCTCGCCTGAAAAGGCCGATGAAAGGCAAGCATTTTGAGACGACAGAGGGGATCCAAGCAGCATGCACCGCGGCTCTCAAGGCTATTCCGGAGAATGCATTCCGTGATGCCTTCAATGCTTGGAAATCACGCTGGCAGCGCTGCATCGACGCAGAAGGAGCCTATTTTGAAAGTTTATAAAGAATTGTAACGATTGGCTCAATAATTTTTTTAAATCGACTCAGTCCTATTACTTTCCGGACAAACCCTGTATATTGAAGAACGGTTGTACGGCCATTTTTAAAAACGATGGACAAACGACCACGATTTGAATCGCGTGACCCCATTTTTTATATACCCCCATAGGTTTCTAATAATGCCCGCATACAAACTACACAAGGGCATACATGAGTTTAGTGGCTGCTGCTAGACTATTACGTGGCATGGGACATCTTAATCATAATTTTTTTATTTTTCTAGACTAGCCACAGCATTTTTTAGATTGCAGAGTCCAGTAATGTTTACTTCAATCGTATCTGGAGCAATAGTTGTATTTGTCCTTATGTATCTAATAACTGCGGTAGGTAAAAAAATCAAATTATAAAATACAATCAAATTTAGGTTTTCTTCCAATGTCATGATACTTTCAAGCCGATCGTGTGTGTATGAACGTCATACGTATCGTTTTCTTATTTACAGGAAGGCGCTCCACTTAGTAACACGAAAATGTTAGGCGGCATCCTTGTCGCCGAATATCTTGTATTAACATTTTGCCATCTAGGACAAGAATACAGTGATGTGGTAAGTTTATTCCAGTAGCTTGTATGTAAAATACAAGTGTTGCACATTTAAGAAATTATTATATAGAGACACATCAAAAAGGCTGCATCAAGTAGGTTGACTCTGCGCTTCCCACGCAACAGTTGATAAATGATTATATTCGGCACACGTTGACTCCTCAGAGAAAAAAGTTAGCTACGAACCTATATAAGAACGGAATCAATAAATCAAGTCAGTCAAACAGGCTCATACAAATAAAGTTTGCACATTCAGCACCCGCCGACAATCGTAGGGACCTGTAGGATAGATTTTAAAAGAAAACAGTATTTTCAAAAAAGTAAGATATTTTGGTTTGGGATTCTTGGAGCTTTTAACGTGTCAGGGCACATATTCATCACAGGGTTAGAGGTCAGTATCGTATGAATGGAAGTGATCAAGGTAAATAGTACATTGCCTGACTTTTATCGGTTGCATTCCAATAAATTGAAAATTCTTTAACTGATTTTGGTATTCAACAATTAATTTTGTTAGTGTTTTGGGGCTGAAAAAGAGTTAAAGATTCATGCCTTCAATGATAAAATATTAGGTGTGCAAATAAGTTCTACCCGTTTGTAGTAGAGACACGTGTACAGTGATTTATAATTTTCATGGTTATCTAGTTACACAGCTAAACGTATTCTGAAAAATAAATCCTATATGCAAGTATTTGCTGCAAATATAACGGTGTTTTCGCCAATATAAAAATAGAACTATAGTACTCATATCCGGCATTGCCTTCTTCTTGAATTTCATAGACGGCTGAAGCTCATAGGTCAATCATGGAGCCTTACGGTGAACGTGTCACGAGAGCTCTAGTCGCAGGTGGTTCCAAGAATTCAGAAGTGGAGATTTCGAATAAATGTTGCAATAGACTTCAGAAGATTTGATAATTCCGAACTGCAACCGCTACTTGATCAGTTAGATCAAGTTCGGCGTTACTTGGCCAGCTATTTCAGAGAGGGAAAATTCAAAAAGAATGAGAATGGGTATCTCACTATTTAACTGACGAATAACGTGAGAGACCGATAGATAGGGGAACAGGGGGTAAGATGGCGATGTTAAGGCAAAACAATTGTTTTTACGGTAAACTCTTTTATTAAGCAACATCAACTCAGACACAATGGAGCCATGCTCATTGCCTTTCATTTGGCATACGTGAAAAACATCGAAAGTTAAACAATTTTTCACAATAAAAACTAAAACAAAACATTGCACTTTAGTCATCTTACCCCATGGCATGGGTAAGATGACGAACCTATTGGGGCAAGATGACTAGTCGCAAAAATCGCACTTAAAGTCACTGCTGCCCTCAAATCTAGAGCATTTGTCGTGCCACCATTCCAAGCACCCAGTACACTGGACCCAATTTTCTGTACTTGGGTCGACATACAATTCTCCACACCCTGGGCAATAATATTTCTGCTTACTTTCTTCACTACTTGCATCTTTCGACTTTGTCTTAACGCCATCCCGCTCTTTGTTAGGTTTTTTCTTTGGTTTATTTTTTACGTCTTTGGGTTTTTTGGTTACTGAAGTGGATACGTTTAATTTACGTTTATTTTCTTTTTCCTCCATTAATTGCTTTTTGAGTTCCAGCTCTTCCTTCATAGGCGTGCTGCTAGTTATCGAAGCCGACATCTTTTTTCGAACTTGGGATTTTCCAGAACGATCACAGGTTGCAATTGGTCTTAAATCCCACAGGCTCTTGTCTGAACAACTCGATCCAGCCTGATCGTCTATCGAAAATAATTTTTTTTCGCAGCTTCTTTTGCTGTTTCAAATACTTTGCCCGAAGAACTTTCGGCTGCAACTCCCCTTTCCTTAGCTCAATACAGACAAGGGAATAGAATCGTTCTGGTCGTCTTCTCGTCTTCAGATGAGGAATTTACGATGTTTCGTTTTCTTGTGACAACTTTCTCTGGGCCACCAGAACGGCTTTTTTCTATAGGAGCTTCAGTTTCATCTGACGGGTTTTCACGCTCAATTGTAATTGCGGGAGCAATGTAGGCCTCTCCAAATAAAGGGCCTAAATTTCGGTCTGTGATTTGACAACCAGGATGATTAACTAAAAATGCGTCGCACATTTGACCATAGAATGATTTATTTCAATGGCCCAAAGAAACTGACATCCAGGGGTTGGAGGCGGTGACTAGTGTGAGGGAGGAGTCCTGCCAATATTATTCCCGTATCCCTACAGTAATTGATTGAGCCAAGTGAAATATTGGAGCTGTGATTGTCGACTATCAACAACAATGGCTTATCCTTAGAAGGATGTGTATGACGAGCAAAATGTTTTAAATAAGCAAGGAAAGTGTCGGATGTCATCCAGCCCGACGATTGGGCCAAAGCGTCAGCTCCAGAAGGACACCTGTTCAATAATTCGGGCTTCATTCTGCGCCGAGCGAAGAAGAAGAATGGTGTAACATATGAACCAACCGCATTCATAGCGCATACGACTGTGGTGTTTCGACCTCTTTCCGCCGACACTATTTTCGCAATTATTCTTTGCCCGGTTGGAGTTAATATTTTTGGCAATTTGGTGGGTACCGTGGAAACACCTGACTCGTCGGCGTTGTATATGCGCTCAGGAGGTAGCTCATATTTCAGTCGTACATCTTTTAAAATATTAAAGAATTTTTCCACTGCAACTTTGTTGAACCCCCTCAGGCGAGCAATTGATGTTGGTTCTGGATTTCGCAAGCTCAGATTGTTTTCTGCTCTAAACTGTCTAACCCAGTCAATGCCTGCCATTTTGTTTTGCTTGTTGAATCTGTGTTCAATCCCATTTGTTTTCGCATATTCAGATGCTAATTTTTGAATCTGTATCAATGTGAAACCAAGTCCTCTTGCGTTGCACTCTTGGATGTAACGAACAAAATCTTGTTTTTGTTCAGTATTAAAAGTGTTCTTGAATCTGCCTGCATGCTGTGGTAGGTCGACGCCTTTCATTTTCTTCTTCAAATATCGCCGAAGGGTTGGTTCTGGAATGTCATATGTTCTAGCAGCAGCATTGCACGATAATGTGCCCTCTTCTACATCACGCATGACCGATATTAATGCAATATCTGACCACTCCCGTCTACTACTTTTCCGCTCATATTTTCTCGGCATTCTGAAACAAAATTTGCATTATAGAGGTAAGGTGACGAATTCGTCATTTTACCCCCGCCATCTTACCCCATGGGTACAAAAGTGAATAATTTTGAGGTTATATTTTACCGCACCCGAATTAATCAAAAATGCTTCTGTCATAGTTGCTACTAAGTGTGAGTAATTAATGACGTTAGATGAAAGTGAGTTACATACCTGCAAATCGTCAGAAATCACTAATATAGGCCCCAAATAAATTACAACAAGGAAGGTCAAAACACTCGTCGCTTAACTATAGAGAAACTAAAAACGCAGAGATTGCGTGTCGATCATATGTTAATACCTGTCGATTGTCGCTGTGTGGCGCCAGTAGTACGATCCACTATTTGCGCGTAGTTTGAAAATGAAGGCCGTTCGTCTTCTTACCCCGTTCGTCATCTTACCCCCTGTTCCCCTACGTGTCTTTCTTTGGCACAAAAAGAAGAGTTTCTGCGGAAATCTGTGACTGGTGATAAGAAATGGATATATACGGAGAAAAGTGACTATTCTGCATTTGGTGAGACAAATGGGGTGTGTTGTATTGCGAGCTGCTTGAACTGTGACAGACGTTATTGGTGAGCGATAATCTTTTACAATTAAACGTTTGGCGGAGAAAATCTTAATCAATATAGAGTTTGTGTACTGAAAACGGGTAGAACCTATTTGCACACATAACTAATTGATAAAAAAAATAAAAAATTGGAGTGGAACATTTTTCCCGCCACGGCCCATATCGTCGGCAATAACACGAAATGGCGTATCTCAGAAAATACGAAAAGTCAGTTAGGTCGATTTTATTACTTAAAAAAGGTTGCTCTTCAATATCACGAAGTGGCATAAGTCAGTTTCTAATACATTTAGAGTTATAGAAAAATAATATTAGGCTTATCTCATTTCAATAGAAAATTAAATTTCACGAGGGAGCTTAACTCAAGTTACGACAATTTGTGAAATTATAAAATATACATATCATTTTACAGCAAATGGCTTATCTTAGTAAGATAGCGGACACAGTTAAAAAAAATTCAAAAAAATAAAAGTCTGGAAAGCAAAATAGCCTTACAAGCGAAGGCAAGCAGTATTTAGGGTGGATTTCACCAAGGTTTTCAACTTAACTGTCCATTATTCTGCACATATATATATATATATATAACTCAAATATCTTTCTTCAACGAAAACGTTTTTAAAAAGATTTATTTTTTAGAAAGACCAAATACAATGATGTTAATTGAATGAGTTCTGAATCGAGACTGCCTGCAAAGTTCATTATACAAACCAAAGTAAAGAACAAATGAAATACAATACTGTAACTGATAAGAAAGGCACGTGGAGGCAAAAGTCCTTGTTCAGCATATTCTTCTCTGTAGACTGGCACATAACTCCTCCACCCCTAGAATGAAGCTTCCCCTGGAAGGTGAATTTCTTTCTTCTTATATCTTGAACTGGAATCTTCTCTTCTAGTGCGTTTTGTGGGACTTGGACCTTCTTCTTTCATCTCGGCTAATTCAATGTCGATTTCTAACTTGGATGCTTTCTTGTTTCTCCATCTTCTATATAAAATTATGCAGCAGATGCTTGAAAATACGAGATATAGTAATATGGTCCAAATACTGGGTTTTCCAAAATTTTCTATGGAATTTTCTTCTAAAATTGGTAACATTCGATTAACTTGTAATTCTGGTAAATTTAACGTTTTCAGAGTAATTTGTGTCTGTGGGATATTTTGTTTCATAAAATGGAAATCCATTTTGTCAGCTACGAGGGGCTTTCCATAGGTTTTGTCTTGAAAGATAAGTTCATTGTCTTGGAATGATATTTGGCATTCACTGGCTTTGACTAAGAAAATGCCAAGTAATGACTTTGTATCGATTTGTTCCTTGCATTTAATTTTCAATTTTTCTTCGGTGAGAAATACAGCTAAATACTGGTTAATTTCGGGAATAAATTCAATGTGATTTTCTTCAATCTGAAGCTTCGTGTATCTACATGGTTCTGTATGATCTTCAGTAATTATTGACTTCTCGCATTGGGCTTTGTGATTGGCTAATATACGATTAGGGCATTGATAGATTCTACCTTGGGTACAAATCTCGTGCAGGGGTTTGATCTCATTTCGATCAGATTTTAGCAAATACTTATAATTTGGGATAATAGTGACGAATTCTGATTTGTGCATCAGAGTCGGTATAGGTAACATATAATAAAGATCGAAATGTTCAGGATAATCTATAGGAATAGATAGAAAATAACTTATTTGATTCTCATCGATTTTACAACTGATAGAAATAATAGATTCATAATCTAGCATATTTTCATACTTTATTTCAAATGGTAATTCATTTTTATAAAATGTGGATATCTTACGGAGTTCTTGAAATAATTCTCTAGTCCTTATTATACTGGGATGCATGGTTTTCAATTTGCAAAAGGTTATCGAATTTTCGATATCTTGTAAAATATTCAATATGGCATTATAAAGGATAATTAATTGATTGATAATGTCCTTCGCTGAAAGAATATCCTGGTTTGTTGTCTGGTTCAATAAAATATGTTTCAATTGTAAAATGTTATTTCTTAATGTCATCTCATTGTGCTGTATATCTTGAATAGTCCCGTTAAACTTTGCGACAAGTTCATTGTTTACTGAATATTGCATTCTCAGCTGATTTTGAATATGATGCTGATTTTCTTGTAAATGGGATAAAATTTTATCAATACGTTTTCCAACGTCGGAGTCTAAATTTCCTGTTATTGTTTTTACTACATAGCCTATGCCATTAAAAAGTCCTCTCTTATTGCGAGTCTTTTGAGAATGAGATTTAATGTATTCGATTTTCTCTTGAATCAAGCTCCTTATATAAGATACTATCTTACTATAATTTTCTAGCTCGTTATTAATCTTAGAATGATTTCTGTAACTATAGTTAAGATTACTGTATTGAATATTCAAATCTTCATATTCCTTATATAAAGGTGATAGATCATAATAGTGCACAAAAGTATGTTTTGTCTTTTGTAGCCTAGCTGTGCCTAAATTTACTGGCAAAATTCCTAAATTGTTCGTTATGTTTCTTATTTCTGCTCCGCATCCGAAATAGATGAGGTATCTGAAATATTAGTAAATTTAAATTGATAAGTTTTCTTCCTGGGCCTTTTAATATTGGATAAATGGATATTTTTAGAAGTATTGGCATGTGTGGGATCTATCTCCGCTCTTTTTAATTTCTTATCTATACTAATTAATTTTTCTTGCTTATACTTATTCTTAGTTTTCTGTTGCTTCTGCTTATTCTTAACATATACCTTGTTAGGAATATCAGGCAAAACTTCACGTTTCTCATTTGCTTTATTTATAACTTTTTCTTTATTCTGTAATATCTTTTCATTTAAATTCCTATATACTAATTTCATTTTTTCCTTATGATTCTGTAAATAATTATTTAATAATTGCTTATCTATGTCTATATTAAAAGGTGATTCTGTTTCATTAACATTTACTTCTATTCTAG